GGAAATCTATGGGTGAAGATTTGTTTTGGGCCATACGTGGTGGTGGAGCAGCGAGCTTTGGAATCGTTCTTGCATGGAAACTTCAACTAGTTCTTGTGCCATCGACAGTGACTGTGTTTGATGTTAAGCGGAATATGAACGATGCTGCAACAAAGAAGTTCGTTCATCAGTGGCAAAGGCGTGCAGACAAAATCGATGAGCATCTGTCAATCTACATCACATTCAGAACTGCGAGTTCTACTGATAAAGAAGGGAATAAAACAATTATACTAGAAGCTTTCCCCCGAGGGACATTCCATGGCAGCGTGGATAGGCTCCTTCAATTAATGCAAAAGGAGTTTTCTAAGTTAAGTTTGCTAAGAGAGGAGTGCACCGAAATGAAATGGGTAGAGTCCTTTCTCTATTTCAACTTCTTTAGAAATGGAGAATCCTTGGATGTTATACTTAATAGGAAATCTGCTTACAAAGTTGCGTCTTTCAAGGCAAAATCTGACCATGTGAAAGAGCCTATTCCAGATGACGTGTTTGAAAGAATGTTGGAAAAGTTATACGAAGAAGAGGTAGGAAGTACTTCGATTGATGTATTTCCTTACGGAGGAAAAATGAATGAGATTTCAGAATCCGCAATCCCATTCCCACACCGAGTCGGGAACCTCTACTACATCCATTACTTTGTGCAATGGCAAGAAGAAGAAGTGGATATTACATCACCCAACAAACATATAACTTGGTTAAGAAGACTTTACGATTACATGACTCCTTATGTGTCTAAAAATCCAAGGACTGCATTTTTCAATTTCAGAGACCTTGATATTGGGATGAATAACAACAAGGATGGCATCACTTATAACAATATTTCTCATGCAAGCATTTGGGGCACCAAGTATTTCAAGAGTAATTTCAATAGGTTGGTTCGTGTAAAGACTATAGTTGATCCAACTAATTTCTTTACAAACGAACAAAGCATCCCACCTCTTTTTGTGTAATAAAAATGTGATAAGTGATCCTTGGGGTTAGAATAAACAATTGTCATTAGCTTTTCTATTTTCTGCGTTTTAAATAAATGTTTTTTGCGACTGTATCATATGTATTCTTATAGTTTAGAAATTAATACAAATAAAAATTCTTCGCTATGCTTTAGAAAATCCATGGCAACATATTGATTGAAAAGGTGCTACACATGCGCAATTAGAATGATAATTATTTACACGAATTGACCAATATTGAATCATTAATTTAAAAACATCCCTTTTTGTTTTTCCAAGTTTGATGTTGTGTGATTCCCATTTTGTCTTATGATCCTGATTTATTTGAGAAAATTTCAAATTTATCTATTATTTTTTTTTCAACTTTATTATTCACCACTACACAAAATTTTAATGTCATTACATAATATAACCCCAAAAAATAACTTATAGATTACGAAATAATCTATAAGGTATGAAAAGTAACCATTGGATTTACGTACTTTTAAGTTTTATGAGATTTTATGTAGATATGACAGACAGAAAACTTAACCTACCAGTATATTGCCGTATCGAGGAAGGTCCCAACGAAAAATGTTGTAAGATTCGAACTTTTTCTTTTATTATTAGTTTCATGGTTGTTTCATTAAAAAAAAAGAAAAGAAAAAACGAAAAATGAAACGTGCAAGAAAAGTTTACTAAGGAGTTAGGATCTCTCTCACACTTGCGCTGGGGTTACTTTGCCCGTGCCTCACTCTTGGGGCCGAGTTCAGCATTTACGCTCCATTGGTCCAAGAAATGGCACTCTAAGTGGGCGTTTAGAATTTGGATTAAAATAATTTTATTTTTTTTGTATAAAAATAAAAATAAAAATATTTTTAATCTCAGACAGAAATTATTTTTGAAAATGTGTTTAGTAATTTTATCAAAAGGTTACTTTTAGTATAAAAAATTCATTAATGTCTCTCTCTCTCCGCTCTAG